CTGTCCCAGGGGGCAAAGGGTGGGGATCTGAGGCACCTGCAGGGCCCTGGTGTGTTCCATGTCACCCATCTCCTGAAATAAGCCTTGAATTCCATGTCCTCATTTTCTGACTTGTAACATTTGCACAGCTGAACCAAATAAAAAGGCTACGCTCTAAGCAAGGGGATTCTATTTGGGCTGCTCACCTGCTCCAGCCTGTCAATGAGCTCTGCAGGCGTCAGGACCACCTCCTCACTGCCCCCGTCAGAGTCCTGTCCCGAGACATCCAGTTCCTCTGTCATCATCTCTGAAACCAGGAACCTAATAAATAAAAGAACCCATACTCTGCAACGTGTCTTCCGTTTACATGCAAGAATAGGCAAGTACATATCTGGAAAATGGACAGGTTTACAATGAGGCTTATTGGCAGTGGCTAGAGACTTCAGACGTTGGTTTTGTAATTCCTTGCCTCTTCCTTCAAAATCTTAGGTCAGGGATCAGTTTCCCAAAGCGGGAACGTTATAAACGTTATAAACGTTTCCATGTACACACTGAATTGAGCATCTATCACACCGTGCAGTAATTCTTTGTTCGCCTTCCAGGAAGAAGGCCGTTCCTCGGGGACTGCGCTCAGTTCAGTTCTAACATGAATCCTGGCACCTCTATGTTCTGGGGTCAAAAGGACCTGTGCAGCCCCTGCGCTGAGCACGGGGCCTAACTCACAGCAGGCACTCAAAATTGCTGGGAGAACCAATTTATGATCCCTGGAGCCACACGGCCCAGCAACAGCAGGCCGGTCAGTGACCCGAAGGGCTTAGGAAAGCGGGTGGTGGGGCCGAGGGCACGTCCCCGGAGCCTCAGGGTCACCGAAAGCACGTTCCTCCCGCTCCTCTCCTCTCCCGGGGCCATGAGCACAGGGTCATTGCCTCCCCAAACGCGCGCGCACACACACGCCGGATGCTCACCTGGGCCGGCGGCACGCTGCGAGACACTCCGGGCTGGCAGGCGGCGAGGCCCGGACACTCGCGGGAAGTTCGCCCAAAGACCACCGGCGGCAGAGCGGTCCGCACAAGGCCTTTCCGGGACGGAGCCGACCTTCACTTCGCAGCTCCCGCGCTCCTCTCGAAACTTCCGGTCCGGGCCTAACGTCACCGCGCACTGGCGGTGTTGACCAATCAAGGCCCAGGGCCACGCCCACCTCGGGGGCAGGGATTACGCTCTCCCAGCGACTTTCGGAGGCGGGAGGCAGCGGGAGGCGGGCCCAGGCTAGCCCCGCCCACCTCGGCCGGCGCTCGGGCGTGCGGTCCCGACTGACACTTCTCAGGGCCGGTCGGCAGGGGGCGCCTGGCCACCGCGGCTGACGACCCGAGCGATGCGGGCCTCCCTGCGACCCCACCCCGCCCCACCCCTGGGTACAACCGCCCTGTGTGCACTGGCCCGTAGCTGGGTCCGCAGAGAGGTGGGCTGTGTTAAAGTCAGGCCGCTTCCACCTCTTGGATCATCTTCTCCACCCCGCGCTCTTATGGCCCTTCTGGTTCCCTCTGCCTGGACATCAGCCCCGGCCACTAAGCCCAGCTTCTGAAAGCCTTCGGGCGAGTGGTTCTTGAAGCGTGGTGCCAGAACACCGGCAGCAACGTCGTCTGCGCCCCGGGAGAAAGGCCGGTTCTCAGGCCCCACCCAGACCTGCTGAATCAGAAACAATGCGGGGTCGGGGGTTCAGCAGATCTGGCTCATCGGGTGACCCTGATGCAGGCAAGGCTGAACCACTGCTTTCGGCAAAGCTTCCATCCCAGCTGACTGATGCTCTAGCTTATTTTCACGTTTACTGATTACGCCTGCTGCCTTTACTGGAGGGCAAAAGCATATATATATGTATTTTTTTCTTTGTGTGATTAGTTTTTCATCTCTGAATTGTTGATGCTTTTCTGTCTGCTCTCCTTTTTATTTATTTATTTATATGAGGGGGAGATAGATGTCTTTATTTATTTATACTTGGAGGAGGGACTGGCGACTGAACCCAGGACCTTGTGCATGCTAAGCATGCACTCTACCACTTGAGCTATACCCTCCCTCTCTTTTGTTTTCTGTGCAAAGCCTCACTTTTGGCTGCCCTAGAAGTGCCCCTTCCCTATCAATCTGAAGACTGTGATGTTTCCTAGGCCATGTTGATTGATTAGGAAAAAGAATTTGGCGAATTGACAGCTTGATAGTCCCTGCCTGATTACAATCGCGTTATCAAAATAACCACACCGAGTGAGACAGTGGGCTTATTTACAAAGCAATGTGGAAGGGATGGGGGGACAGCAAAGAGGGATTCTGAAAGGAAGGGACATTTGAGCTGTGTCTTGAAGCACAAGTTTTGTTAATGACAGACGGATGGCCTTAAAAAATGTCCGTTTTGACTCTGTGTTTCAATGGTTTGGTGATCCAGTGGTTTTTCGTTGTGGCAGGTCGTGTTTTCCCGAGAGAGCTGCTCTGATACTGATCTCATCATGAGCTCTTCCTTCAGCAGTGTGATGCTGACACACCTCCATCCAGAAGTGGGGTCTATGATCTCGCCTTTTAGATCCAGAAAGCCCTTTGTGACTGCCTGGGCCAAGAGAATGCAGCAGAAGTGATGCTGCCTGACTTCCGGAGCCACGTCAGGACAGACCGTGCAGCCTCAACCTGCTGTCTTTCTTGAGCCGCATCCCTTGGCAGTCGTGAGCAGACAGGTGAGATGGCTGGCTACCCTGCAGCTGCCATGGAAGGTCCCCGTGGAAAGGTCATGTAGATCTGGAGAGCCACGTCCAGGGAGCCCCAGCTGTTGTACCCTCCAGATGTCTGAGTTGAATGAGCTTTCAGACAGTTCTAGCTCTCAGACTTTGAGCCATCCCAGCTGACTCGGAGGCAGCAGGGACCAGCCGTCCCTGCAGAACTTTGCCCAGATTGCAGAACTGTGAGCGAAACATGGGGGGTTTTAAACCCCTGCAGTTTGGGTGGTGTGTTCATCAGCATTAGATGACTTGAAGGTTCGTCTTCAGGCACAATCCCATTCTTCCATAATTCTCATTACTGCATAGTTTTTCATCAGTCTTTATTAATACTGCTTAAGTGTTAAAGATTTGAGTCCAAACACCGATAACTTCTTCCCACAAGTACCAAGAACTTAGTTTACTGACTCAAAGACTTCCCTTCTCTGGTGTCAGCTGCCTCTCCAGTCTCCCACTGCTCCTCAGCCGAGGATCTGGAGCCCAGCTCCTGAGTCCTTACTGCACAGAGCTGTGGCCCGGGACAGGGCACTTCTCTGGGCTAGGTCTGGTTATCCCGCCTGTTAAACGAGAACAGTAGGTGTCTTCCTGAAGGCAGAGGGATCAATTAAGAAAAAAAAAGCAGGGCCCCCTTTCACTTCTAAGTTCTTTTTTTCCAACTGATACTCATCAGACAAAACCACTTTAGAGTAAAATGAGTTTGTAGAGAGAGATTTCTACTATGTAAAGAAGGGGCATTGAAGGAGACATCCAAAGAGAGTACACAGAGCCCCCGGGGAGAAGTAGCACAAGCTTTGGGTGAAAACTTCGGCCCTCGTGACGTTTCAGAAGGTGGGAGAGAAGACGTCTTCGTTACATTATGTAGAACAAAGAGAAAAATCAAGAACACTTGATGGATGTGTCCCCACCGTAAAGAAATTTTCTTTTTTAAGTCATATTTTCTTTAAAAAAAATTTTTCTTGAAGTGTAGTTGATTTACAATGTATTTTCTTAAAAAAATTTTTTTGACGTGTAGTTGATTTACAATGTTAGTTTCAGTTTACAGCAAAGCGATTCCGTTATACATATGCATACATATGTATATGTTTTCTTTTCAGATTCTTTTTCATTATAGGTTATTAAAAGAAATTGAATATAGTTCCCTGTGCTATACAGTAGGTCCTTGTTGTTTATCTCTTTTATATATAGTAATATGTGTCTGTTAATCCCCAACCCCTAATTTATCCCTCCCCACCCTTTCTCCTGGGGTAACTATAGTCTGTTTTCTATGTCAGTGAGTCTGTTTTTGGTTTATAAATAGAGTTTTTTTAAAAACTTTGAAGTACAGTCAGTTACAATGTGTCAGTTTCTGGTGTACAGCACAATGTCCCAGTCATACATACACATGCATATATTCATTTTCATATTCTTTTGCATTAAAGATTATTACAAAATATTGACTGTAATTCCCTGTTCTACACAGAAGAAAATTTTTAATCTATTTTGTAGATAGAATTTGTATCATTTTTTTTAGGTTTCACATATAAGTGATATTTTATATTTCTCTTTCTCTGTTTTGACTTAGTTCAAGATGTTTTAAAAAAAAATAATTACAGAGCCATGCAGATGGAAAGCCAGTCATTAAAACGATCACGTGAAAAAAAGAATTACATAGGTTGTCATAGCAGGCGGATGACGTGTGATGAAAAGAGCAAGATGAACACACATGCATGAACTCAGATGAGGAAAACGTGAAGCTACCAACATAGCAAAAGAAGGAGGAAGCTACTGCCCAGAGGTGAAGAGCACACAGAAAACAGGACCCTATGCCGTTTGAAGAAAGTGAAAGTCAGTGCAATTTCCAAGCATTGTTCAATAAAGAAATTAATGGCGGTTAAACACACAGCAAATGGAAACAGCCAACGTCTTTGTGGACAGCTCCGGAAATATGCATTAATAAGAATGGACCTAATTTTTCTCCATCGCTAAGGACAGAAGACAAGGCGTACATGTCTTGACAGCACCGTGAGCCTTTTTGGAGAAAGATGCTTGCTAAATGCAAGGTCATACCGTTGTCATTGTTCGTATAGCATCACTGCCCGTGTGCATTTGGTCCACAGCTGCTTCTCCATGTTTCCTTCCTCTGAAGTCCATCGCATTCTTGATCTCACTCCCCTGAGAAGCAAAGCACTAAGCCTTGGGGAATGTATTAGTTAAGCGAAGTTTAACCCCCGTGTTGTTCTGAATGAATGAAGATTTGGACTAAGGATAGGAAAGTAAGAGAGCAACTTGTATTTTTAAAGAATGCAGAAAAGTCCTCTTAGAATATGTCCTTCTAGCCTCACAAGGAAAGCCGTTGGCTGGTGAATTCATAAGTGTTTTTCTGGCCGATAGTAAAACCCCACGTCCACTTGTATGGCTGAGATGCTGGAAAACTTGGGAAGCCAGGACCCTGAAAAATGTAACATGAGGGCAATGCCTGATATCTCTAATTCCTCCCCCCACCCCCAGATTTCAGCTCCTCATCCCTTACTCAAATCCCATCTTGACTGCAAGCACATTAAATCGACCCATATATGTTTCCAATAAAGACATAAACGTCTCAAATCTCTTCTAAATTTTGCGATCACGCTGTTGAGAATTATGTGGCTTTGTAATGTTGTTTAACCGGAAAAAGCATGTTCGTTGTGCTGTACACACTGTAATTGACTGTACTTCAATTTAAAAAAAAAAGCATGTGTCCAAACTTCGAGTGCTCTAGTCTCTGTTTTGCCTACCCGCTCCCTGGTCGGAGTGTGGTGTGACCCTCCCTTCCTTAGTTGGGGCTTCATGTATTCCTAGTTTCCGAAATAGACACACACTCCTGTCCTCCACCTCCATGTTTTGCTTTCTCATGTTTAAGGGAAGAATGCTTTTTTTCCCTCCTGAGCGCAGAATCAGCCTTAGGAGCGAAATAAAGGGCCAGTTTGCTACAGAGGGGTACCCATCTCCTGCAGAGAAAGCCAGCCCGGGAAATAGAACATTCGGCTTTGACGTCAGCGCTGGCCAAGGCTTCCCAGCCCTGGGCAAACTGTAGATGCCGCCTGCCCACTTTGCCTCCGCTCTGTCAGCAGGTACCAGCCAAGGCTGCTGCCTCCCCGCTCAGAGAGTGAGAGGCTGTTCTCTCGTCCCAGCATCGCTGTTTCACACTCTTGGACCTTTCCTTGGAGGGGTGTGAACAACGCCTCTAGGCTAGCACCTCATCGTCTTAGGCTGAGACCCTGCACGGAAGCAGGCTGTTGCGGGGGATGGAGGCAACTCCCTCGAGAGGAGTGGGGAGGCTCTCTAAGTGATCTTAATTGCTCTCTGAACGCAGCACTGTTGATTTTCTTGCCGTTCGGGGCCTCCCCCTTACACCCTCTTTGCTCCGTTCATGTTGAACTGCTCAGGGACACTAGGGATTCTGTCTCCTTTGTTTGCACTTGCCCTTCCCTCTCTCTAAGCTTCACTGTTGGCATTTAAGCCCCTCACGAACTCCTCTGCATCCTCCAGGACCCAGCCAAGGTACCTCTTCCTCTGTGAAACCATCCCTAACATGCCGGTCACCAGTACACCAAATGCTATTCTGATGCAGCGTTTACAACGCTGTATTGCAGTTTCCACCTGTCCGTTTCTCCTGTTAGGCTGTGAATTCCCTGAAGGTATCCCCAGATCTGGCGCGGTGCCCATCATCCCTGCACCCATTCATTTCTTCATTCAACAAATATTTCTGAGCAGGGAGGGTCTAGCTCAGTGGTAGAGCACATGCTTAGCATGCACAAGGTCCTGGGTTCAATCCCCAGTCCCTATATTAAATGAAAATAAGTAAATAAACAAACTACTTATCTCCCTCCGAAAACAAAGCACAAATATTTCTGAACATCCAGTGATGTGTGAGTGTCTGCTTCCAGGCCCTCTGCAGGTGTTACAGGTAAAACAGTGAACAGAAAACACAGACCTGGTGATGGGAGATACAGTAGATAAATGGGAGATACAGAGATAATAACAGTGGTTTGTCAGGATGGTGAGAGAACAGAGCTGGGTGACGCAGAGAGACCCTGGAGGGTGAGGTCGGTGTAGAGGGTTGGGGTAGACACCTTAGTCCCATCGGGATGCTGTAGCAAAATCCCATAGGTTATATTATGTTCTTCCAAAGAACAGGAATTTCTCTCTTACAAGTCTGGAGGCGGGGATGGCCAAGGTCATGGTGCAGACAGAGTCAGCGCCTGGTGAGGGAGGGCTCGCCTCCAGTGACTGTCTTTTCACTGTAGCCTTGCATTATGGGAGGAGGGCGGGGGCACTTTCTGGGCTGCTTTTATAAGGGCACTAATCTCATTCAGGAGGGCTCCACCCACAAGACTGAATCACCTCCCAGAGGCCCCCACCTCCTAGTACCATCCCCTTGAGGGTTAGCTCTCAACATGTGAATTTAGGATCTCAACCTGATGAGGGTTAGTAAATTAGGATATGGAGTTTATATACGACATAAAAAATAAAATGTATAATTTGTTCTTTAGGAGAGGAAATGCTAGTCTGCCCACCAGTTGGGCCAAAATGATGAGGATTACTGTGATCTCATCTCCATCGATGTCAGGAGGTAACCTGCAAACAAACACCTTATGAGAATATTGTTCCACTTTCTCCATTCTGGTGAGTGAAGCAGTGAGGTGAATCCAGGTCGCTATGAAGAGGTTCAGCTCCACGGCCATCATCCAAGAATCCATCTTCCATTGGAAACAGTGAAGACTGATCTTTAATCGAATCATTTTCAGCTCTCATTACGTGGATGCGTGAACTCTCCAGTGAGCACATGTCAAATGTCCTGGGGCGATCCAGAAAAGGAAAAATGTTGTCAGCCCTCTTTAAGCTATTGTCTATCCAGGACTGAGGAGCAAAATGGGCTGCTTTTATAAGGGCACTAATCTCATTCAGGAGAGCTCCACCTTCATGACTGAATCGCCTCCCAAAGGCCCCCACCTCCTAATACCATTGTGACCTCCTAATACCATTGTGACCATTGCCAGCTGTGGCGCTTGGAGGTTAGATCTCAACATAGGAATTTGGGGGGGGGCCACAGACATTCAGCAGACTCCCTGAGGAGGTGACATATGAGCACAGTTTGCAGGAGGATTGAGTCAGTTGCAAGGAGGTGGGTGTGCAGCCCAGAGGAGCAACAAAGCTGCAGGGTTATTTGCTTATTGCAGAGTAGACAATGACGTGAATTTGCCTTTTGTAAAAAAAAATTAAATGTATCTTCTGAAAAAATATTTGCCAAATAGAATTTATGAGTCTAAGAAAAATGATTTTCTTAATGGTCTTCTGGATAAGAGTCAAGCAATGAGAAATGTGACCTTTCCATCAAGAAATCCACAAGGCTTTGTATCAAGAATCTGATGAAAAGCTCATATGTCTATGTGCTGGGCAGGTCCTTGTGTTTATTGGGGGTCCCTGTAATTTACTTCAGGGAATTGTCTCTAGGTCTAAATGAAAATCTGGCCAAGCTCAGTATTTCTAAATGCTTACAGCTCAGGACACTGCTCTTATTTTTTTTTTTAAATATGTGGTCAGAGGACAAGCTTTGACCAGATTCACAGGAAAAGAGTCATTCCACTTTGGGCTAAAGTTTATTAAAATAATTTTTCTGTGTTAAGGACAACTCTTAAAAAACCATCAGCTTCATTGGTATATAGGGAGTGGTTTCCCTGAGATGACAGTACACAGTATGATTTACTTTAAAATTTTCTGAGGTTCCTCAGGATGACACCTGCACCCCAGTGTTCATAGCCGCACTATTTACAATAGCCAAGACGTGGAAACAGCCTAAATGTCCATCGACAGGTGACTGGATAAAGAAGATGTGGTCTATTTATACAATGGAATACTACTCAGCCATGAAAACAGACAACATAACGCCATTTGCAGCAACATGGATGCTCCTGGAGAATGTCATTCTAAGTGAAGTAAGCCAGAAAGAGAAGG